CGGGGTGGGGGCAACTCTGCCCGGGGCTGGCGGAGGCCCCGATGACCTGAGCTGCAGGCGCGACTGACGTTCCCAGACCCGGATTTCTCTCCCAGGGGACCCCTCAGACACCTGCACGAGTCCCCGGTTTCCTCGGACTCTCGGGCCGCGCCTGCGGGGCGCCAGTCATCCCCGTGGGTTCGGTGCTGACTCCTGGATACTCACAGTTGCCCAAGCCTTCGGGGCTGTCCGTATGGACCTCCACGACCGCCTCCACCGCCAGCCCAGCTCTCCCCTGGGCCCCCTCCCACTGCACCTGACGGGCCGCCGGGGCCCTGGCTGGGTGTGACTGGGGGCTCCAGGAGGGCGGGGCCTCGGGTTTCTCCAGGCTTTGGGCTTTGTCCAGGCTGGCACCTGGGGAGGAGAGCGGTGCACTGCAGCCAGCCTGCGGGCTCCGTCCCGGACCTGCCCGTTTCTAGCTCTTTGATCCAGGGCAGGTGGCCACACACCGCTCCATTTCCTATTACAAACGGGGATGCTGCTGATAACAAGGTATCAAGCACTTAACCTGTATCAGCTTTTTTTCATCCTCAAACCAACCCTGGACACAATTATTATTGTTGTTATTTCCCATTTTGTGAATGAGGAGTATTGAGGTTCAAAAATGTGGAAGTGACCAAGTCACCCAGCTAGTAAGCAGCAAGGACTGGATTGGATTCCAGGACTGTGAGACAGTTCAACACGCTCCTGTGTTCTGCCATCTCATAGGGCAGCGGTGAGAATGAAAACAGCATGTGAATCACTGAGAACAAAGCTGGAACACACTGAGGCTCATTCACGGAGAAGTAGCTTTTGGAGATAGAACTAAGGTCTCTGCCCTCTGAGCTTGTCCCATGCGGCTGTAGCCTGGGCCAGGCAGGAGGGGGTTCGGCTAGTGATATTGGGTTGGTGGCCATTGTCCCTACAGCATTCATATTCCCTACAGCCTTCATATTCCTGGTACAGTTTTTTCTTACTCCTTATTCCAGCTTGGGGAGGGGCAGTGCCAGTAGGGGCAGGGCCAACTTGAAGAGGGGTCTCTCTGGAGATTGCTGTGCCCTGCTGGGCATGCCCATGGCATTGTCTCAGTGTCACATGGGCTGGGTGTGTCCCCTTCTGTGGCAGGAGTTCCTTCAACCCTCAATACCCTGGTGCCGAGTCAGACTCAGCGAGTTAAAAGGGTGGCGGACACCTCAGTGCTTGGCTTGTGACTCTGAGCCATCTGGATGGGACTGCCCTTTGTCAGGTGGCCTGTAGGCGAGTCATGGCGGTGGTTTGGTCCTTTGATTGCTCATTAATTCAATAGACATTGACTGCCCCTGTGCACCAGGCCTGGGTTTGACCCTAATGAGGGGCTGCATATGAGATGATGGGAACTAGCAGACTTTTACAGAAGCAGAGGGAACACCTCCCCATCCCTTTGTCTAAACAGTGGGATTTCTGGAGTAGACGCTCCGGTTCAGGTTCCGGCCCCCACAGTCACCAGCTGGGTGGCCTTGAATCCCAAGTTGCTCTTCTGGAGTGGAAATAGTAATTTCCATTTCCCCAGGGTGCTGTCTGGATTTGGTGACATCCCCAGTGAGGTGCCTGGAATGTGGTAGGGACTCGGTGAGCAGGAGGGGCAGGTACTGGCTGGTTATCCCAGATGGTGAGGGGCTCAGGTGCTGTGGCCCTAAGGCGTGGAGTCCCTCTCAGGTTCCATCCTGGGTGTCATCACCAGAGCAGGGAGGTGCTGCCTGTTGGCACCAAGGAAGCACCAAGTCAGAGTGAGAGAAGAGTAGTTATGGGTCAGGGTGCCCCCTCTTCTGTGTTTGCCAAGGGCCGGCCTCTTAGCCAGAGCCCTGTGGGCACCAGCACCTCTTCTCCCTCTGCTGTACTCTGCATTGGGTCAGCCATTTTCTAGTTGAGGGAACAGGCCCAGATGTGGTCATTGAGGTACCCAAGGTCACATGCAAACCCTATAAGCCACTGTCCCCAAACTGGTCAAATGCCTCTGCCTCATGACCGCCTCTCTGGGCCTCTCTCCCCTCTTCTCTGAGGTGGGGGCTTTGGACACGACGGCCTGGGTGGATTCCTGCAGCCTAAGTGTACTGTTGAGGCTGACCTTCAGAGGATGGGGGCTTGCACCTGGGGCTCCTGAGAGTGTTCTCAGCCCCTCTAGGAGGGCCAGGGAGGGCGCTTCTGGTTCTGATGCCACCCTGGGGTGGATTTGGCCAGGGCCTGGAAGCCCTGCCCAGTCCCACTGACCTCAGGCTTGTTACAGATGAGGACGATGTGCACAGATGCGGCCGCTGCCAGGCGGAGTTTACTGCTCTGGAGGACTTTGTTCAGCACAAGCTCCAGAAGGTCTGCCAGCGGGCTCCCCCGGAGGCCCTGCCTGCCACCCCTGCGGCTGCTGCGCTGCTGGGCCAGGAGGTAAGCCCACCACCCACACACATGCAGGATGAGGAGGAGGTGGCATGCGGGGACAGACCTGTGCAGCTGGTTCCCAGTGACACTGAGGCAGGCAGAGAGCAGGCATCCGATTTTGTGACTCTGAGCCAAGGGAGAGTTAAATGGGTGGCAGACACCTCAGTGCTGGGCTTGTGACTCTGAGCCATCCAGATGGGACTGCCCTCCGTCGGGGTGAGGGGGGATCTGGCTTTACCACCAAGAGCCTGATGGTGCTCTAGGATTTCCTGGATGGCCTAGCCTTCTCAGCAGCCTCTGGCTGAAGCATACGCAGTTGGGGCCTGTGGTCTCTCCTTTCTTGTAGCCCAGAGTTCTGCCTTGGCTCAGGGGTATCATGGTGGTTTTTGTATTTTTGGCCTGTCTTCTATCCTGTACAGATAGTTCTTGTGGATCCCACAAACAGAGCATGGCTCTGGATCCTGCCACCCCATAATAAAAATGGCCGACTTTGTTGCACCCCATGTATGCTTGGGGCTGTACACACACAGTTAAGGCCCGTAGCGCCCTGCACAGTGGGCACTCTTGTCATCCTCGGAAGGAAGTGGGGAAGGAGGCTCCAAGACAAGTCAGTTGCCTCAAGTCACTACAGGGAGTAGCCTAGAGGACAGTGGGCCCAGAGTTGTCTTACTCCGACCCTATGCTCTGTACCTGCCCCTCCGGGAAGTGCCCTCTCCTCTAAGAAGGCCCCTGGACCCACATTCCCAGAGCCCTCTCCTGTGACCCCTGGCTGGGGCTGGTGGGTGTAATAGCTTACCTTCACCACCTTCATTCCTGCACAGCCAGCTGAGCTTCGAGCTGGAGCTCTGATCACTTCCTTCTGGAGTCCTCCCTGAGGGTGCTTGGTGCTGTGTTCCTCAGGGGCTAAAGGTGTTAGAGTGATGGGGCTGACACCCTGGGCCAGGCTGGGAGTTGGGCTCAGAGTAGTGAGTCTCTTGGGGGAGATGAGAGCCTCCACCCAGCCATCCTGCATGGACATAAAACCAAGCCTGCACTCCCCAAACCAAGGGAGCTCGGGAGCTCCACAGACGAGTTCCTTTTGTCCTTGTTCACCATTGATAGGTGGTCCCGGCCGTGGCAAGCCCGGAGGAGCCCATCACTTTGGCCCACATTGTTGTGGAGGCAGCTGCTCTGACACCAGACATCAGCCACACACCTGATATTGGTAAGCTGGCCCCACTGGGTGTGTCCGCTCCTGGCTTTCAGCCCTGAAGTGTCGCTGACCTGGTAACCATCAGTGGTCAGGGCTGGAGGCTGGGAACCTCTGCTGCCCACACTCCTCTGCTCCCCGAGAGCAAGGCCTGGCCCAGGAGGAACTGAGGTCTGGTGTGCACCTTCCCCAGGGCAAGGTCTATGGGAGGATTGAGCATTGGGCATCAGGCCCTCCCCTGCCAGGAAAGGGAAAGCATGTTGCCTGGGCTGCCCTAGGATCTTCCCTACTTCTCTGCTACCCCCCTGGTTCCTTTCCCCCCCCCACAGTTGGCTCTGGAGATTCCGGGTGGGTATGCATGGGGTGCATCTGCTGCTCCAGTGTGGCCTTGATCTGCTGCCTGACCTTGGCCTTCTACTCCCCAGTGCTCACTCCCTGTGGGGATAGTGATTCCTGACCTGATTCTCACAAGGCTTTTATGAGCATACAACGCCAAGTCAGCCGCTTTGATGGCTTTTTTTAAGTTAAAATACCTTCTGATGTACATTAGGGGAGGGGTGTTGAGATGTTTGGATTGGATCACACACTCATTAATTGGGGACAGGCCAATGCAGGGGGACATTCAAAGGGTAGTCCAGGGTTGGGGCAGGTGAAGAGAGTTGGGGGGGGAGGGGAGGTGCTGGGTGTGTGCACAGCAGTGGAGGAAGGCTGGGTTGAGCCTGCTGCCTCGGGAAATTTGGAAGGGAATGGTGGTTACCTGGGGAGCCTGCTGGGCAGAGACCTTGGCAGGTGCATGAGTAGGTTGAGGAGCTAGACAGGAAGTTTGGGCAACAGGTAGAATTTGCCCTTGGGAAGTTCTTAGGACCATCTGGGGTAGAAGGAAGGGGTGGGGGAGGAGAGTGGGGGAGGGGAACCTTGGAGCAGGTTTTTTGCCAAGGCCCCACCTCAGGGAGGTGATGGGACACCTGTCCTTGTCTCCATGCTCTTTCCCCCTGAGATTCCTGTGGACAGGGAAGTTCACCTGGTGCCACTCTGGGATAGGAATGTTGTCCTGTGGGAGGTGGGGCCGTGCTCCAGCCCTGGCTTGGTTTTTGGTTTCTGGGGTGGGTGGTGTCATATAGAAAAACAGGTTCCCTGCCCTGGCTGGGTGGCTCAGTTGATTGGAGTGCTGTCCTGTACACCAAAAGGT